GAACACTGGCGAGACACAGGCTATTGATTGTAGTAACACTGTGTTACTAGCACCGCATCTTCCATAACGAAGGGACCCTCTGCTCGACCCTGAGATACTCCTCACCTGACATCATCGATGCCAGCTCGCTGTAAACGGGGATGGTTTACAGATGCTCAAAGAGAGGGAGACATGCAGGTGATGTCATGCGCTCTCTGACATAGAGCGTTGCGCTACTTTCCAATCCGGGGGGAAGCCGCCGTCTGTAATATCACCAGATGAGAGGATTTGCACTGAGAGAGCTGCAACAAGTTAGGAATCAACATGATTGGTTATAGCAATTAAGGGCTGAATGGTATTAAGATAGCAATACAAGACGCCGCCGGATGAGGTTGATGCTCTTGAGAATGGTTCCACCGCTCCGGCGGAGCTATAGGTCAGCTGAGACCATTTCGGCTCGGACGCCGGCCAATTGTGCGGGAAACGACTGTTTTTGAAGGTAGCTGAGGCTACATATATTACAAGTAGGTGTATAGCGACTCTCTGTAAATAAGTATTGGCCTTAAAATCCTGAATGCTGGCGTTTTGAAGGCGCTGAAGGTAATGGTGAGACCAACGTTGAATGAAATTATAGTTGCATACTTACAGTTACGAATTGGCCGCAAAGCCGGAGACGACCGCATTCCCATACCAGGTATGACACCTTTATTACCAAGGAGGTGATTGAGGTGTTTTTTACCTCGAGAGATCTGAAGTGCCAGGATAGAGAGGGAGCACGAAGCGAAGCATGGAGGAGTTCGCCACGGACTCAGCCGCTGCGGTTGACCCGCATCCCGTACGATACTAGTAACTCGACAAGCACGGGAGAGTCGGAATGGACTGAATATTTGACTTATCATCTCTTTAAAAGTCTCTAGATGACTTCTGTTGAAAAGTTCCAGCAATCAGCTATTCATTCACATCCAATAGATGCGAGGATATAAGACTTCATGCTGTCAAGAAGAAAAATGACTATGGACGAAAGCAGATCGTCCTGATTCGAATGTGATGGGTTTCATCCAGTGCACATCCATAATGGAGGAGATCCACTCAGACCTTAGGTGTACCACCAAGCAGGTCATCATCTATTCCACAGTTTCCGAGGGCTATCTTGAAAAGGCCGTGGTCACCCCAGTCTTCATTCCAGGAGTTCACGACAAGCCAGTAAGCTTGTCCACTCTCTTCACCCCAACCAATTATCTTCACAGCATGTCCACCGAGATATTTTCCAGAAGTATGCTTGTATACACCGGACTTGTAGGCTAGGAAATCTTCGTAAACATCGAAACCAGCCGAAACCTGATCGACGTTAACGTTTGGATCACAGGAGTGGATCGGTCCCACTGGGCCATCGGTCCTGATAGCATTCTTGGCATCGTTCACAGAGTATTGATACGGAGAGGATTCCACCATGAAATGACGATCACTGAGAATGATAAACTCGATTCACTTGACTTAGCTTAGCCTTCCTTTACTCTTCCAAAGTGGTCGTATACTTCGGGTTGTGGCATTGTTCGACACAGTTGGGAGTCGGGTATATGTCCTGATAGGCAATGACAGTTACTGCCTCAGCGGTCGCCGGCGGCGACTCGCCGCCACAGCTTACCTCCGGGCATTTGGGGTACTTGGTATCATTGATATGGTGAGCGCATGGAGGGAAATCATACGGCCAGCACCCATCGTCTTTGGTCATATCATCTTTCGCAACGTAATCTCCACCTGAGCAACGAAAGAAATGTTCTTCTGCACTCTAGGATTGTGCAGCATATGTGGATATCGGAGGTTCAATTTCCATAAATCAGCCCAGTGTACTGGGACAAGTTGTCCCAGACGATGCTACAACAGGAGTCATCGTCGCTGGCTCATTATTGAGAACGACAGCGACCCGTGCCGAGATTATCATCATATTTCCCAGCGTCTACAGTGTAGATCTCTCTCCTGTCTTCAGTCTGTATACAAGAATGGCTATCGAATTGTCGAGGATAAGTCACAGCAAACTCGCCTCGGATTTCGAGACTCGTTTCGGTCGACTCCCCTCACCAGTTGCGATCCCTTCATTGTGCATCCAAGACCAGGCTGAGTAAAGAAATCCACCATTGCATCCGTAGGACCTGGGAAGAAAGTACCGATTGGAAAGCTCCCAGTCTAAGGCTGGCATCCTCGACTCACGGCGCACAAGCATTCATCTCGCCGGCCGATAGGAGCTCCGTGAACGTCCCATTCGACTTGATACATAGGCGGTCATTAAAAGCCTCAGTGACACCGAATGCCCAACAGCTTCCACAAGCTGACTGGTCTCTGGAGATCGAAGCAGCATTTTCTCACACAGTCGCCAGTTAGCTACCTGATATGGCCGATAACCTTTGAGCAATTGGGAAAGGCGGTGCGAGCGTCGAAGTCAGTAGGGAGGTCTTGTAGCTCCTCTATAGCATAGCCTTTTTTTATGGCTTTGTCGTTTGACCCTCTCATCAGTGTTCCACATAGCATTTTAGCATCACGCAGGGAGAGGTCTGAGGAAAAGAAGAGAGATGCTTCGACAAACACTTGGGAAGTAGAGCTACTCTTGAATCTTTTCTGCCCAGTCGACGCGGTCCATGTGTTTTGCTTGGAATTGATCTCGTCAACGAGGCTCTGCATGATGGCCGGTCTGGTCTCATCGTAGAGGACCGTCAAATCTTCAGTCGAGATGAGCTCGGACTGGATCCTCAACTCCTCCTCGAAACGAGCGAAATGCTGGGCTTCTTCTGCCGGAGTATAAACCAATCCTGAAGATGGGGAGTTGTTGTAGTTGTTGTTGACAGCCCTCCAATGGGCTGTCGACATGGTGAACTCAGTCGCACCTCTGTGAGCCTTGAGGTCGTCGAATATGCTTTTGGCTTGTTTTATGGCCAGGGTTGAGTTCTCATAAAAGGACCAGATACAGGTGATTGTGATGAATGAACGATATATCATTGACATGCGGTAATACGGCTTCGCAATCACAAGTCTACGTTGGACACCACTGATCGGGAAGCACTTCCGAAGGAGGCCACAGGCGAAAACCATAAGCCCTGCGCT